ATGTTAAGATTTACTAATAACACTTTTAATCCTCAAAACAATGCTACGAGTTAGGTACTATTACCTTCCCCTGTTTAGAAGTAAATGCTGAGGTACAGAGACCTTAAGGACCTTTCTAATCTCATACAGTGAGGGCGGGAGGCAGGACTCAGACCTTGATATGTATATTTGTTTCTACAATACCTTGCATATTGCATTAGGTTGAATTCTGCAGGATGCAACCTCAGCAGTGATAATTGTGACATAATCAACTGTTTGACTTCAAGAGAACCCTTTTAACTAATGAAGACATTAATTAAAAACATACCACTGCTAAGATGACCTCTCTGTTCAGAAACTGCTCTTTTTAAAGAAACTGCTCGTTTTTTTATTCTTTTGTTTTAAGACAGGTTCTCACTGTGTGGCCTAAGCTGTAGTGCAGTATCTCAATCCTGACTCACTGTAGCCTCAGTCTCCTGGGCTCAAGTGATTCTCCCATTTAAGTCTCTCCCCAAGTAGAGATGAGGTCTCACTGGGTTGCCCAGGCTGTTCTCAAACTCCTGGGCTCAAGTGATTTTCCTGCCTTAGCCTCCCAAAGTGCTGTGAGCCACTGTACCTAGAAATTTCTCATTTTTGACCTATTAAGAAAGTCATTTCATGCAATCCAACCTAAGAGCAGTGTTCATAATGAGTTGCTGGGTTAGTGTGTATTTCCTTCGCCAGACTGTGGGCCCTGTGGGGGACTGGGTCCACCCTGCTCACCTTTGTCTCTACATAGGGCCTGGCTCATGGTTGGCATTTGATGAGTGTCAGTTGAATGAGCAATAACCAAATGAGCTTTGGTTACTTCTCTCCCCCCAACCCATATATATTTCATGTTTATTTCTTCCTGTTTTTGTGTCATTTTTAGAACCAGTGGATAAACATAAATAATTCTGCAGGATGCAACCTCAGCAGTGATAATTGCGACATAATCAACTGTTTGACTTCAAGAGAACCCTTTTAACTAATGAAGACATTAATTAAAAACATACCACTGCTAAGATGACCTCTCTGTTCAGAAATTTGAAAACGCAAAACGTTTGCGTTCCCCACCAGCATGCAGAGATTTTGGCCAGAGTGTATGTGGCACTCAGAATGCCATCCACTCAGATCCTTATTTGAGCAGTAAACACATTTTTAAAACACATCGTGTAGACTCTAAAAATAAGCGGTATTTCAAAATGAAAACCAGTGCACAAGTAGTTGGCACATCTGGTAGTCACAAAAGTTGTATGGTTTGTTTTCAGGAATGACAAGCCAAGGAACATTCAAACTCGGCCAAACTTTTCTTCTATCCGTGATGACACCTGGTTTTTTAAAAAAAATTGGCTCCAGACTTAAAGCAGCAAGAATATTGGAAACGAGTAGAGAATTAAACAGCATCATTTACTATCTTGTTTTGTGCAAGGAAATATACAGAACATCAAGGAAGAGAATAGAGCAAAAAAGCGATGCAAGCATATAACAATCATCATAACAATGCAAACAACTATAGCAGCTAACATCAATTGATCACCTACTATGTGGCAGACAGTGCACTGAGTCCTCTGTGTGTGTTGTTATTGCTATATGCACAACAACTTTGTGAGGTGGTGTGAATTTTATTCTTACTTTGTAGTTGAGAAGACACATGGACATGGAGATAAAACATACAAATGTTCAGTAATTTTCCCAAGTCATACAACTTGCAGATCCCAAGCAAGCAATCTCTAGAGCCCACACTCCAAGGCACTGCATGATTCTGAGTAGTCTGGAGGTGTAGGTGTTCATTATGTCTGGCATTATGAAAAAAATTAGACGATTGCGTTGGGTGGAATGACTCGGTTAAACTTGTTTGCCTTCATGTGTGACAGATGATGCCATTTTCCAGAACATTCTCATGCTGCACCACAAACATTTACATGTTCCCCCAAAATTCACCGTACTCGTGCTTCAAGAACATTCTATGTGACACTTGTCAGAAGTTGTCATTCCTCTGTAGTTAGATGAGGTTAAAGTTCACCAGTGAATTTGGAAGTAGGAGGTAGGATAGTAGGAATTGGTGGAGCTGTTGGGGAGAGAAAAATTAACACTTTTTAATTACAGAACAAGAAAATAATATGAATGTACAAATCCAGGGTAGAAGATTGCACAGGCACCCTTGGCCAGTGTAAAATTCTGGCCCAGGAAGATGGATTTATAATTACCTTTTCCACTGGCTTCATCTTCCATTCAGAGCTAGTTAGCAACACTGTGAAGAAGCATCAAAGAATTGACTTGGAGGTTTTTTTTCCCTTTTCTTTTTAAATGGCACTGTGTTTCAAAAAAGACAACCAGGAGGGGTTCAGTGGGAATTATTTGTTAGTATTTAATATTCACTTATAAGTATGTTTTGTTTTCATTCATTCATTCTATCTTCACTGGATAGACTTTATTACCAGGTCCTGGGCTAGACATAGAGGAAGAAGAGATGCCTCAAACAAGCTCTTTAAAAAGCAGTAAAGTATAAAAGGTAGAAGATGGCATGTAAACAGTGCAGGCATTTTAAGGCATTTAATGTAGGCATGTAAACAGTGCAGTTTCTTGAAGCATTATAGGTACTGAGGTATGATGGCAAATGTGTGATGGAAGATTACGGGGAGAAGAAAGGAAGCATTGGTCAGATCCACCAAGTGGGCAGACGGGTAGAGAGATCATAGAAGGGTTGACCCGTGAATTGAGACTTTAAAGATAAAGAGGCACTCACTGGGTGGATAAGTCAGGGTAAGTGTATTCCAGGCAGAGACAAGAGCAAGAACAAGGCAAGGGTTAAAACATGTTTCTGCGATCATATTGGTGCTTGTCGATTCTAAGGTATACATATTTTTTGTTACAACATCTCTGGACACCATGCACTAGTTTGACTGGAAGTTCCTGTTCTTGCTGGTACACGAAATAATGGTACATTTTATAATATATGGCATTTTAGATGTGGTGAAATAAGGTATAGATATGCTTTGCCATCAAGTAGTACTTCTTGGGTGCTATTCCAGCTGCTATGTCTTTGTTTTGGGGATAGATAGACATTAATACCTTTTTATTGAAAAGGAAACAGGCATGAAATGATTGAGTTCCCTAGATAACTATATGACATTCAATTTGACAGCATACTTGACATCTGATGTTGCTTTTAATAGTAATGGCTGGTAGCAATGGAACATGTGGAGAGAATTCAGGTATCTCATATACTGGACTAGGCTATGAATCATCACATTGCCTTTTTCAAAGGTAAAAAAGAGAGTTTGAAAAGCTAATGCATATAACTGATTGGGTTTTGTAAAAATATTAAACTTATGATGCATTACATAAAAATATACTCACAACTCTTGGTGTCAAGATGAAGCCCTGATGAGGCAATACTTTATGAGTTACGAAAACAAAATATCTACAACTGATCTTCAAAGCACAAGAAGATGGGTCAGATATAAGCTTCAGTGGGTGGGGTAGTGGGGAGGTTCTTGTTTGTGTATCTGGGAAATAAAATCAGAGAAATTTCCATAAAATCAGAGAAATTTCCATTGGAGCTAGCAATCTTGGAAAACATCCAAGGAAGAACCTAAGCATACCAGAACAAAAACTTAAGCTCACAGATGTCATGAAACACACTCTAGTAGAATCAATTTCTGCTCTGTCATCAAATCACAGTGTGACCTTGGGCAAGTCAATTAACACTTGGATTTTAGTTTCCCAGATCGCTGGACTAAACCAGAGTTCCTATCAGATAACAATGCTGTGACTCTTCCAGTATTTTTGAAATTTGTCTGCATTGATGGGAACATGGTGATTGCTCCAAGTCTTGTTTGTCCTTTGGTTTTGTATGCTCTAGGAAGAAAAATGTGACAAAAGATGATGAGTAAAGATGCTTTTTGACTGTTAATTTATTTTTTGAAAAAACAGAATAGAAAATTGTACCCCCCAGGGCCAAGGAAAGTTACAGTGACACTTCTCCTTCTACTTTGATCCCAAACATATCAATGAAAAAGATGGAAAATTTAGTGAGAATTTTAAAGCCCAATTTGTTAAAAACTGAGATCATGTTTATTTTTGTTTGCTAGAAATGGGAACAGAGTGTACAGTTACTGAGTCTTGACCAGGTAGTTGGAAAAAGATGTTTGAAAAAATGCATCCATATAAAAAGAATGTCTAGAATGATTCAGATATTATTATTATTTTTTATAAATTAGTCATGGCAGTGTTTGGCTTTCTCAGACTTTGCTTTTCACTTTTCCATAATGACACAAATTCTTGTGGGTTCCTTTTTTTTGTTTCTTTCCCCTTTGGGTACATATTAAATTTTAGTCCATTAGAAGATTATTATCAATGAAAATGAAAACCCTATGTCCAATTTGTTTACCACACTGTTTTTCAAGTGAGTGTTTTGTTTACTATTCTCTCACCATGGTTTTTTAAAAAAAATTGGGTATATGTTCAATGGTATATGTGTTGGGATGAAGAGGAAAAAATCAAGAGTGGAGAGACACAGGCAGACTATGTCTTTTTAAAGACGTTCTTTGGAGGTTCAGATTTGGAATTAATTAAACCAGCTAAACAGGTTTTTTTCAGCAGTGTCAATTTTCCTTGCTGGATGATTTAAGATATTAGCTATTCTAGGATAAAACTCGATTTGATACAGGTAATCCCATCTATCTACCACCTTAACCCTTTAGATAAGATATTATAAAATATGATTATAAATGTAACTGGACACTTCTACAACAAAGGAGAAAAATTCAAGCACATTTGATAATGAGTGGTGATTATAGAAGGGTTTCTATTGTAGTATTATGGCTTTTTCATTGGAATTAGAGATAGCTTTTGGGTATCACCAATACTAAATAAATAAATAAATGACCCAAGGACTATCTCTACAGATGAGTCCTGATATAAGCGTGCACATGTCTGTATTTACTGATTTCTGATGTAAGGGGACATGAAAGCTAACCTGATTCATTTGTTTTTAGGGGCTCTTGGCTTTGGGCCTCAGTGCAAGTCCATTGGAAAAGGCAGCTGCAACAATCTAGTGGTCACCAGCAGTCCCATGATGGTTCAACGACTGGGACCCATTTCACCTCCAGCAAGCCAGGTCTCTACAGCATGCAACCAGATCAGTCCTAGCTTACAGAGGGCAATGAATGCAGCCAACCTGAATATACCTCCTTCAGATACCAGGTCTCAAGTTAACTTTTTTTTCCCTTTCTTTATGGTATAATCATACCCCACAAGTGTTTTCCCTTCTCTTCCTGAACACACACACACACCCCACCCACACCCACACACACACACACACACACACACACACACACACACACACACACACACACACTCTCTCTCTCTTTCACTCACACACTTATATACTCAAGTAACTCTTTCAATTTGAGCTTTGTAGGGGAATGTGTCTAAAAACGAATTCTGTGACATAATATCATCTTAATTGGGAAATGGTTTAATACCTGCTGTCTTGTGGTGTGAGTGAAATGAACACCAAATTTGAGATTTTTGCACCTCAGTGATTGAAGCCCAGTGTATAAATTTGTCAATTTCTGATGAAGCAAGTCACACCATGGCCCAGAAAATTCAGATGTTCCACGCACATCTATATTACCTGCCAGGTTTTTTGTGTATATGTTGCAGAATTTCCAGGCTGCTTTATAATCTGTTTTGTGTGTCTGTCCATCCACCCATCCACTAAAATATTTATTAAGTATTTACTGTCTACATAATATAATAGTTGAAGTTTAGGGAGACAGTAGAGAGAGTAAAGATAGAAATCATAAATTTTGAGAATTTTATGATGTGTCTGGGAAGATATACTTTCATGTATGAGTTATATAACATTTCAACACAATGTCTGATTAGGTGCCAGAATAAGTAGGTAACATAAATGCCATGCATCTATCTCCATGGGAGAGAATTGAATAGAAAGGAAAATCACCTCCTCAGACAAATTTTTATTTCTCTTAAGGTTGATATTAGACTGGAGGGGGCATAAGACCAAAATCATATGTAACGTTTGAGGTCAATTTCTATGTTTGAAATAAGTTATTCTATCTTTTGGAAGTTATCTTCTTGGAAAAACATAACCCGAAGCCTCTCAGTTCTGGTTCTGCCACATCTATGGTCTTGCAAAGGAATTTTATTCTCTGGGCATCTGCTTCCCCTTTTCTGGGGGTGCTGTAACCTACTAAGATGCTTTGCATTTCTGGGATCCTATTTCTTTTTCCTTTCCATCCTCCTTCTTTTCCTCCCACCCCTATTTTTCCCTCTTGTATCTCTGTGCTGTCCTCCTAGCTGCTATTTGAGACTCTGAAATCATAGTTTCTGAATCATTTATTTATGCCAATTTTTTTCATGAGGTAGAAACTTGTTTTTCACCTGAGACTTTTTGTGATGGGAAGCTGCTGTCATTTTCCCATTGATGATTATGCCTTAAGGGACTCTTCAGACTTGCTGAGTGCTGCATGTAAAATTAACTGTGCTCACGGGGTGGGTGTCATTGGGAAGCCTTCAGTTTCCTGTCTGTGGCAAGTCCAGCCCATGCCTTGAAGGCAGAAGTCATAATTAATGGAGAGACTGACGGTAGGCAGGGCACAGACTGCTCAAGCCATGTACCTTATGCAGTCTCTTTCATGGGTCGGCCAGAGAGGGGTCATTATCTCAGTGTTTTCTGGCATATTTGATTCCTTAGCATAATTTTATATCCTTAAAAGACAACCCCCTATAACAGTGCTCTGACAAGTGTTTTTGACTAGGTATTCTTAGAGTCCTTCTATGGGAATTTTTCTTTTTCACAGCAGGAGCAAAAGAACAAGAGTTGAGAATTGGCTTGGTAAAGTATGGAACATACTTTTGGCAATTTAGAAAGGTTGCATTTATTTGTGATCCTTAAATTGGTTTGTGTGTTTCATCAGAGGAGAGGAAGAATAAGAGACAACAGTTCAACTTGAAGACATTTACTGTCTAGAGACAAGAAAAGATGCAGAGAGAAATCAGTTTAGTGTTTTATTCACTGGGGCATGCTGCAGGTAGATGAAGGTGGGAAGGGGCCTGAACGGTCTAGTCAGAGAGATACTACCCTATGAAAAGCTGTGGAATTTATTTTTTTTTTTCTGATTACGTAATTCTTATTAATTGTAGGGAACATGGAAAATATGGAAAAGTGCCAGGCAGTAAAATGACTGTCATTCTGAATTCTATTGTCCAGAGACAACCATGGGTGGAATTTTGATATATATCCTTCCAATTATATGCAACCACATATATCATAAGCTTAGGCTTTCCTTTCTACTAAATTGATCTAATAATCTACATAGTTTTATAATTATCTTTTTGCAGTTAATATATTATAAACTTTTGTCATAAAAGTCTTCAGCATCATGCAATGACTTTTTCCTGCCCAAGATTTCATTTTATAAAGTATATAAATAGAACTGTAATTGCTTTATCAGTCTTTTATTACTGGGCATTTAGCTGTTTCTCTTTATTTTGATATTATAAATAATGCTTTATTGGATCAACCCTGTAAATCCTTTGCTGTACAGCTTGAATTATTAGAATAAATTCTTAAAAGTAAAACTTATTGGATTAAAAAAAGTACACAGTTTTGAGGCATTTTACACATATTCTCAAATTTTTCTGCAGAACAGATCTGGCCATTTATAAACTCTGTAAGTCTAAGAAAGTGCTTGTTTTCTCAGACCTTATCCATTACTAGGTATTATTAGTTTTATAACTTTTGCCAGTCTGATGTATAAAATATTATTTTATCTTAATTTGCATTTCTTATTTATTGATAGTGTTGAATAATTTCCATAGATTTATTGGCTCTATTTTTTCTTTTGATCTCCTTTAGGTATTTTTTGGGGGAGGTGCTCATCTTTTATTTTTTTATTTATTTTTAAGCATATTTTTTATTTTAAATTTGTGGGGTACAGTTAAGGGTTAGGTATACAAATATGCATTGTTCAGGCACCCCTGTTGATAAGGGGTGTCCCTCCCGTCCCCAGATAGATATTGATTACCATTAATCCCACCACCCTTGCCCTCCTTGTCACCCCACCATAGATTTCCACCACTGTTGATCCTTTTCTTATAGTATTACGATAGATGTTCAAGGTCCACTTATGAGTGAGAACATGTAATAATCAGATCTTTGTTTCTGTGAGAATCACTCAGTATTATACACTCTAGTTCCATCCAGGTTGCTGCGAAATTCATGATTTTGTTCTTTTTTATGACTGTGTAGTATTCCATCGTTATATGTACCACCTTTTTTTAATCCAGTCCTCTTTTGATGGACAGCATGGTTGGTTCCAGGTTCTTGCTATTGTGAACAACGCTGCGATAAACATGTGTGTACAGGTATCTTTTTCATAGAGTGATTTCAGTTCTTCAGGGTATATTCCCAGTAGGGGGATTGCGGAGTCATATGGGAGGTCGGTATTTAGAGCTTTTAGGAATTGCCACACTACTTTCCACAGAGGTTGCACTAGTTTACACTCCCACCAACAGTGTAGAAGTGTTCCCTTTTCACCACATCCTCTCCAGCATCTGTTATTTTTTGAGTTATTGATAATGGCCATTCTGACTGGAGTTAGGTGGTAACTCAGTGTAGTTTTAATTTGCATCTCTTTGATGATTAGTGAGGTTGAACATTTCTTCATGTGTCTGTTGGCCGCTCATGTGTCTTCTTTTGTGAAGTGTCTGTTCATATCTTTTGCCCGCTTTGTAATGGGGTTGTTTGTTTTTTTTTCTTTTCAGCACGTTTGAGTTCCTTGTAGATCCAAGATGTTAGGCATTTGTCAGACATGGAGTTGGCAAATACTTTTTCCCAGTCTGTGGGCTGTCTCCCTACTCTCTTGATGGTTTCTCTGGCTTTACAGAAGCTTGTCGGTTTAATGAGGTCCCACTTGTCTATCTTATCTCTTATGGTGCGTGCGTTTTGGGTTTTGTTCAGGAATTGAATGCCAGGACCAATTTCCATAAGGGTGTGTCCTGCATTTTCTAAGGTTCTTATGGTTTGAGGTTTTTCTTTTGATCTCCTTTAGGTATTTTGGGGGGGAGGTGCTCATCTTTTAAAAAAATCACTTCTTCCTTAACCTTTTTGAGTTGTTTATTTCAATGAAGAGAATTTTGCCTAATGCTGTATATTTGCCTTGATTAATATCCTACCCATTTCTGACTACCCCTCCCTTAATGATAACTGCATATGATACCTTAGCATCTTGAAGATAAAGGAGCCATTCTCAATTAGGCATTGTGTATATTTCCCCTAAACTGACCAGGTTGAGATGCCAATATGATAACCTTACACAGTGGCTTCATATTATACCAATCTGGCAAACGTTGGGCAGTAGAAAAGATTGGATACTACTTGCATGGGTTTGTGTATATTTAGCTTTTCTGGTGTTTTCACATGTATTGAGATTCTGCATTTTATGACTGAATACTAATAAATTGCCTGCAAGTCTTACTGCTGTTTAAGACACGATGGACTCAAGACAGAAAAAGTCTAAGTGCTTTGCTCAGCATCACTTAGCTTGTCAGTCACAAAGTGCAACTATCACCGAATAATGTCATTTCAGATCCAAAAGACACCACATTTAGCTGTTTATTTCCTAAGCCAGAAATTCTTGAAGATGGCTTCATTTTCATTTGGAGTGTGTTTACAAAGACCAGAGAAGGCTAAGATGACTGAGAATGGACTCTGGGCTCTCTGCAAATTCTAATATTTTATAAAGCCATCCTGTCTTCAGATACAGTGCTAATTCTTTTGGGGAATTTGCTGAAGTACATAGACAAGAATTTAAAGATAGACTAGCACTGCTCTTCTTTCCCATGATCTATATGTATGTGAAATATATATATTTTCTTGAGCATCAGTTTGAGGAATTCCATGTGTTATGTAAGTTAGAACTTCTTTAGAGCTTGGCATTGAACCAAGCAATCCAACTTGGACATTATGCCTCTTACAGCCCCAGGAATGTTAGAGTTCTTGCTTTATCAACCATCCTATCCTTCTTTGCTGATGGTTTCTGAGATTTAAAAAAAAAAATATTAGTTTTATTTTGTTTCTCATCTGTCTCTTTTTCTTTTATACATAACTCCAAGTTAATCAGTCATCAGAAACAATATCCTTAGGATAAGGTGAACACATAGAAATGGAGTTTGCTTTCCTAGGGTGATATACCTCTGTCACTTTCTTTCCCACGGGTCCAGTGTAGCAGCAAGGGCTACAAGTGAGAATCCTTTGGAAACTTTCACACTCCTTCAACATGTTGTTACAGAAAGAACAGAACATTTGGATGCTCATGGTAGCTTGTGTGAATTTAAGCCTATAATACCAGGTCTTTCAATCAAGGAGAGCATGGAAGACTACCTGTGAGATACAGTATGAGGAAGACAACAGGGAATGTGTGTGATACAGTTACATAACTGCCTGTGGAACATGGCTTACCTTATATTTCTTTAAGGACTTTGGTCCTTTGTGTGTGTGTGTGTGTGTGTGTGTGTGTGTGTGTGTGTGTGTGTGTGTGTGTCATTAGGAGGAATTTTTTTTTTTTGAGTTGGAGTCTCACTCCATCACCCAGACTGGAGTGCAGTGGCTACTCCCGGCCACCACAACCTCGACCTGCTGGGCTCCGGCGATCCTTCCACTTCAGCCTTCCAAGTAGCTGGAACTACAGGTGCACGTGCCCAGCTCATTTTTGATTTATTGTAGAGATGAAGTCTTGCCAAGTTGTCCAGGCGGGTATTGAACCTGCGGGCTCAGGCAATTCACTCACCTCAGCCTCCCATATCGCGGGATTACAGGCTGAGCCTCCGAGCCCAGCTATTGGGAGGAATTTTATAGAACCAGTTTTATTTTTTGTGAAATACAAGTTATTAAAAAAAAAAACAGTTTATTTACCTAACAGACAATATCAAATGAGATTATATATCGGGTAAATGTTTTGTAAGCTATAAATAATATTTAGTTATCATTATAGTCATTATTTATTCACTTTCTTAAGCAACAATTTTTGAGTACCTTGGTATGTATCTGACATTCTTGTAGGTATTGGGGAGATAAAAATGATCCTGTCTGTTAAAAGGCTTTTAATATTATTGAAGAATATAACACCCACATATGCCTGAAGTTAACTAAGTTTAAGATACGATATAGATGGTATATAACTTCTTTGGAAAGAGAACTCTCACTGGAAGCTAGTGTACTGGGGAGAGATTTCATGGATTAGAACTTTTAAAGATCAAAAGATCTGGGTAATTGCCCAGGAGGGAGACTGGCTGCTAGGCAAAGGCCATTTGGGGAAGTTTTGTTCTTACTAGGTGTTTGGGATAGAAGAGAGAGTTCGTTCTCTGTTCATATTATTGTTTTAATGAATAGAAAATAGAATTTGCTTTCTGAAAAGTATATGATAACTATCTTAGAAAACAGATTTCCAAGGAGTGACAGAATGTGCTTGTATGGGGTTATGCCCCGACTTGAACTGAGCCATAGGTAGGGATAATTCGAAAGAAATGAGAATCATTTCTTAACAATGGAACAAATGAACACAGATTACTATAGATTGCCCTCAAACTAAATAATATAATTTTATAAGCAAAGTGTACGGGTGGATAAAGTACTTTCTGCTAGTCGCTGCTTAAAAATTGAAAGTACTCCATCCAATATGACAGTGACAGGCAAATACACCACCCACACTCATTCACCTACCTACATTCACGTACACTCGGCCATGCAGCTCTGGAAAGCCCTGGTTCTTTATGTTCTGTGAATTTTCTCAGACTCAGCATAAAGCAAAGTCTGTTGTCTCTGCCTTATATATGATACAACCAGTGACTTAGTTTGGGTCCAGAAGCAATTCCTGAAACTCTTGGGGGAAGGGACCAAAAGGCCCTTGACTTCCAATCATCAGGAGCCTTGAGCTGAGCTCCGCAGGAAGAGCCTCATACTGCCAGGGTGCTGGGAAAATAATTGAAAAGTGTCCATGGGGAATTAAAAAACAGATGGTTCTGAAACCACTTTGGAGCTTGCAAGAGGACTTCAGCCTGAATGTAAGGATGTGGACCAAGAAAATATACCTATGTCAAGGGCAACTGGATATAAATTCCTACCATGTTTGTCACCGGTAAACATTTCCTCACTTGATGGTAACATCACATTGATCATGGTGTTATCACCCTACACTATGTATTTTGGAGCTGAGATGTTTTCTTACTGATATCTCATGCTTGTAGGTAATGGTGTTCATGGCTTCCATTTTGTGAAATGGAGTAAAAGGAACAGGTGGGATAAAAATGCTGCTCTTTTCCCTCAGTTCCTTTGCAACAGATTGATGTTTAACAGCTGGAAATCATAAATGTGTTCATTTTGAGAAGACATGCATTTTATAACATTTTCTTGTGATTCATGTATTGTCAGAGAAGAGCTCTTCATAGAAAACCAATGCAGGTACATATAAAGAAGCCAGAATTTTCTGATATACACCATGTCTGAGTTGGGAAATACAGTGTGTTATGTCTTGGCTCTTTGTGACAAATTTTCTATCCAAGGGACATAGATTTTCTCCTCATTTATTTTTAAGGCAACAATGTCACAGTAAAGCAAAATGAATTTTAAAGTGGCCAGGGCTACATTATGAACCATTTTGGCATGCAGATAATATATTGTGAGACATAGGACATGTTTTATAAAGGGTAAGAAGAACAGGAGAGGAATTGTAAAAATGAACTACTGAAAGCAAATGATCTGCTCTTGGCCCAAAGCTGCTCTGATTTCAGGACAAGAGCCTGTAGAAAACCTGACTAACAAGTGTGATTAAACCCTGCACAGATCCAGTGCATAATTTCAAGTATGACTTGTTATCAATGTGTTACTCACTTGTGTATTAGAGCTTTATATATTTTTTTCATTTCCTAGGATGATTTTATTTTTTCTTTTCTATTTTTAAGTCAGGGATCTCACTCTGTTGCCCAGGCTGGAGTGCAGTGGCACACGCTCACGGCTCACCACAGCCTTGACTTCCTGGGCTCAGGTGATCCTCCCACCTCGGCCTCCAAAGTAGCTGGGACTACAGGCATGTGCCACCACTCCTGGTTAATTTTTTTGATTATTTTTTGTAATAGAGATGAGGTCTCAAATGTTGCTTAGGCTGGTCTCAAACTCCTGGGCTCAAGCAATCCTCCCACCTTGACCTCCCAAAGTTCTGGGGTACAAACGTGAGCCACTGCGCCTGACTCCTGAGATGATTTGATGTTGTGTCTAAGCACTGAGACTGTGAGTTGCTATCTTGTAAAAAAAAAAACAAAAAACAATTCCTTAATATCAGTGAAACTGAATTATGAAATGACTAAAGTCCCTTGGATAACCTTTTGACATTGAGAATTTACTTTTTTTCAAATCAAGCATGAATTTGTTACTTTCCCAAAAAGATTTTACTTGAAGATTGAGTCTCTGTTTAGATTTGTATTCCCTGCAAGGCCTATTATAGCTTGCTGCACACAGTAGGTGCTTAACAAATACTTGCTTATTTGGTTTGCTGTGACAGATATCAATAATTTTCCCAGGTTTCTAATTTTTTCCCTATATTAAAAAAGATACTTAAAAAATTAAGGCAAGGACTATTATTAAAATATTAAGATTATTTATAATAGATCTTTTGTTATATTATTTCAGTGAGCATTAGGTTTTATTGTTCTTCTTGGTAGAATGTTATTTACCTGGAACTAAAAGCCTTGGATTTTTATCTTAGCCCAAGAATGTGTGTTTAGCAGAGAATGTAATTAGGGGAAATACTTAAGGGATTGTCAATGCAATGTTCTTTTAGCTCTTAAGCAATCCATATCCTGCTAAAACGTTTATCTTTTTTTTTCTTCCTTTCTGGCTGTTACAGGTCCCTCATTTCGCGGGAGTCTTTGGCGTCCACGACTTTGAGTCTGACGGAAAGTCAGTCGGCCTTGAGCGTGAAACAAGAGTGGTCTCACAGCTACAGGACTCTTCCTTCCCTTTCCTCCAGTCACAGCTCTCAGAATGGCATCGATTTAGGGGACCTCCTTAGCCTTCCTCCCGGGACATCCATGCCCAGCAGTAGTGTCTCTAACTCATTGCCATCCTACCTTTTCAGTATGGAAAATAGCCACTCTCCTTACCCAAGCCCTCGGCACTCATCCACCAAGTCCCACTCGGCCCGCTCTAAGAAGAGGGCCTTGTCCTTGTCCCCGCTGTCCGATGGCATCGGGATAGACTTCAACACGATCATCCGCACGTCGCCCACCTCCTTGGTCGCCTACATCAACGGGTCCAGGGCTTCCCCAGCCAACATGTCGCCGCAGCCTGAGGTCTATGGGCATTTCCTGGGGGTGCGCGGCAGCTGCATCCCCCAGCAGTGCCCAGTGTCCAGCGGCCAGAAAGGCGTGCTGGTGGCCAGCGGCGGCCTGGCCCTGCCGGCCTACAGCGAGGACGGCGCGCTGGAGTACGAGCGCATGCAGCAGCTGGAGCACAGCGGCCTCCAGCCCGGCCCGGTCAACAACATGGTGGTGCAGCACGGCCTGCCGGGCCCCGACGGCCAGCCGGCCGGCCTGCTCAAGACAGAGCGCCTGGAGGAGTTCCCAGGCGGCGCCCTGGACCTGCCCTCCGCGCCCCCCCTCCCTCCTCTGCCACTGCCCCAGGGCCCGCCACCCCCCTACCACGCCCACTCGCACCTTCACCACCCGGAGCTGGTGCCCCACACTCAGCCGCTGGCTCTGTCCCAGGCCGCCCTGGACGACGACGGGGAGCTGGACGACGTCGGGGACAAGCACTGCTGCCGCTGGATCGACTGCAGCGCCTTGTATGACCAGCAGGAGGAACTCGTGCGGCACATCGAGAAGGTCCACATAGACCAGCGCAAAGGGGAAGACTTCACTTGCTTCTGGGCTGGTTGCCCTCGAAGGTACAAGCCCTTCAACGCCCGCTACAAACTGCTGATCCACATGAGAGTCCACTCCGGAGAGAAGCCCAACAAGTGTACGGTGAGTTTCTGAAGCCCAAGGGGTCAGGGTCACCTCTCTTGAAGGCCCAGCTTGCTTTTCTTGCACATGTTTTTCCAAACTTGGCCCAAGGGTCAGGGCACGTTTTCTTCTTTTACGGGGTTTAGATGTGTGGTGGAGATGTCCGCGACGTGGAATTTATCTTTAACTTGGTGAAAGGGAAGGCTTCTTTCTTGATTAGTGGCTCTCCGTTTCTAGATTCTTATCTGAATAGATACATGAGCCATCCTGGGAGAGGAGGTCAATCTGCCACACGGCCTAAAATCTTGAAATGGAGATGCTCTCCAGGCACAAACGAGTTTCCTTAATATGAATAGATGTGGAGGGGCAGAAGAACATACGGCGCCATCAGCAAGCTTTAGCTCTTTTCCAAAGTAAATATTCAATTCTCTCCCCTTTTCTCCAATAACTAGAGAGAATTGGGGCAGGGGGAGGTGGTTCTAATACTTGGAAAGGAACTCACCACTTAGCTACTTGGCTAGTAAAAAAGTGTTGCCGCATGCACCCACATGCCTCCACACTATACCTTCCAGGGTTTAGAGCCTAGTTAATGATTTATGGCCAGCATAAAAACACCCAGGGGATGCCACAGGAGCAGATACTCACAGGATTTCACCTAATTTTAAAAAGAAATAACTGTGGAGAGAGAAAAGGAGAAAAATCCACGGAGACGGGAATGTGCCTTTGGTGTTGAGGGAAGTGGGCGTGATATCTCTTTCTCTCTCGCCTCCCCCTTTCACAACATCCATCCTGGAACTCTCTCTGTTTCTTGGCAAAATTTACTATTTTTGAATAATATGATTCTTAAATGATTTCACAACAATTTCACACCTCACAGAAACCCTCGGGGTTTACAAACAGGGCATCACCCTTGGGATCACAGGATGGCTTTGCACAATCGCAGACAGCTCACTTAACTCTTGGAAAAAGAACATATGTTTTATATTAGTTAAGATGGACAGAAATATTTCTTTTAGAGTGAAAATCTGATATTTCTGTGTACTCCTTGGATATTGAGTATGGTACAAGTCACTAAATATGTGGAATATATAAATCAATTTGAAAAGAAACTTATTTTGGACTGCAGTTCCCCAACCAGAGTCCCTTCTTTCTATGGTATGTCATGATGATGAAGAATCTGGATCATGTATATGTCTGATTGTAGATTGGCCACATTGCCTGATTCATGTAAAAGAAAATCAAATGGATGATGGCTGTAATGCGAGTATTAGAAGCACTTTTTCACGCTCAGTAGTTATTTTTGAGAGAGTTTAAAAAATTTTGGTGGAATGGAATTGCTTTTCTTGTAATTACATTATGCCCCACATTGTGATTTTTCTTGAGGAAAACGTGAGGCTCATACATTTTAAGAATGCCAGGTTATGTGAGTGAAAAGAATAATTACGTTCCAGGTGGCAAAACCTTACTCTGTCACTGGAGTTCTACATTTAAAATGCCAGAAAAAGAGACACGCAACTGAAGGCAATTCCATTTACTCTGTTTGGAACACACCGGACTACTGCAGGCAGGAAAGACATTCAGTCTCTGAAGGAAAACAGTCCAGTCTTTTAGTTATGACTAATCCTGGCTGAAAATAGTTTACTGGATTTGGCTTTACTGAAGTAAACATAAAGACTTGAATTATCTAGAAAAATATTTTTTGCATTGCAAAATTAATTTTTCTGAAATAGGATTTCCCCGTTTCCCTACTGTTCCCAGACTTTGCAAAGATGTATAACTTTATAATGTTGACTTTTGTGAAAGTGCATGATGAATATTAAAAATAAAATAGTTCAGTGAAAGAATAAGCTGAGAGCTGAATGTTTGCAGGCCTCTGCATAGCTTCTCACTGCATTGTTCAGAATGGGTCTGGGAGGTGATTTCTCCCTCCTAATCTGCCCACTCCACACTTCTAGGTGGAATCTTTAAAAAATTTAGATTGCTAATTTATTATCATATCAAATCTGGGACCCTAAAGCATTTACTTATGCATATTATAGTGTACATGTATTTACGCAAAACAGGATTTCTTAGGAGTTGACTAATGTTGCAGTTCTAGTTCTGGGACTCTATATTTTTAGCAGGAAGACATCCATTTTCTTATAAAACATACATATCATGGACATTATGTCTTCTGAAAACTGTTATGCTGCTACATGTCACCTGCTTGATTTGTAGGACTATAGCCAACTGGCAGCAATTAATTTTGCTGTGGAAGTTTGGCAATCCTCTTAAGCTGTAGGCCACAGATGGAAGACATTGTTCTTAAGGTGGATGTACATACACCTGGAAAAAAATTCATTATTTTGCCTTTTACAAAACCAATCTTTCTACTCTTGGAATCCAGACATATATAAATGTTACAACTCAAATGTTTCATCTCCCACTGCTTGAAAATCTGATAATAGTTGATTCAAAGCTCAAGATATTTGCCAAGTAAAACGACCACATTCTTCTTTTGGAAATATGAAGTGATCTTTAGTTTGGGTTTTTGTGGTGTATCATATGCTACGAGGGCTAGGGGCAATTTAAATTATAAATTATAAGACGCAGTCTTTTTTTTTTTTTTGGGTCAGGGTTTCATTTTGTCGCCCAGGTTGGAGTGCAGTGGCATGATCATAGCTCACCAAAGCCTTGACCTCCTGGGTTTAAGTGAGCCTCCCATCTCAGTTTCCTGAGTAGCTGGGACTCCAGGCACACACCACCACATCCAGCTGCTTTTTAAAATTTTTATTTTTTTTAATGATGAGGACTTTCTATGTTGCCCAGGCTGGTCTTCAACTCCTGAGCTCAAGCAATCTTCCACCTTGGCCTCCCAGAGTGCAATCCAACCCATTTTTTGTTTTACATATGTTTAGCTGCTATTAATTTTCTACATATGATAGAGTTAGTCATCATTTTCACTTTCTTAGTTAATTGACCCAAGAAAGAAATGATGACCCCATTGTGTTTGGTGACCATGACTACAAGCAGCACAAAGAGCTTCTGGAAGTCATGGTTAGAGAGGGGTGAGTGAGAGGGATATTTAGTGATAGCTTGCTTACAGTAAGAGGCTACCACTGGTGTCCTCCCTCATGCCAAATTCCGTTTCATGGATGAGAGAATGCATTCTCAGAATCTCTGTCCATGTCTCCCCAGCCTTACCCAGAATCCTGGGATTCAGATCACTCAGGATTCCAAGGGGAAGCACTGGAGGAGGAGGCATTGATTTATTATTTGGGCAACTTACTGAAGAAGAGAATGGGTTCTTTTCCCACCCAAACGACTCCACCCTTCTGTAGATCTCATTCTTACTGCTTCTGTGGAAAGCCCAACCAACTGCTTTCTTTCCAGTCCTAGCCTGGATTGCACAGACATTTCCAGCCAGTGGCAGACTTTGAGAAGTAAAGGTCTCAGCAGGCCGATAGGTAGACTTCAGCTAAGTTAGAAACCGGATGTAACGATATGATATTAAAACACACCTGAGTTCATTCACTGCAGCCTATTAATAAAAGCAAATTCTGGGTGCTGAGTCATTCTCTTTTTGCTTTCTTGAGCTTAGACTAACCCCAACCTTGGTAAATATCTGAGTTATCAAAATGTTTGAGCTTTCCCAGGTGTAACTGTGGAATCCTATTAAGTTTTTCTGAGATGGTAATGTTACAGATTCTCAAGTTGGAACAAGTCATGAAGTCTCTGAATTTGTCTCCTTTCCAAATCCCTGTTTCATGTTCTTAAAAGGACAACATGAAGTGTAACCCCAAACCACAGAAGTATACTAACCATCCCTAGCAGTATCCATGGTAATGGTTCCAGTAGAGCGCACACCGAGAATGTTTTTACCATAGGTCTTTTTGCCATTAAGTTGAAGAGTGTACAGCAGCTGGTTAGCGTTCCCCAGTAAGGTGTGTTCTGAATGAGCTTGGGCCCACTCTGTCTGTCAGTACCTCTCATGAGAAAGCCTATCTGATCTGGGCAGTGTGGGCAGAGGGACAGGGTTCTGTTGCCAGGATCAGAAACACCGATGACTTACCTTCCTGCACAATCGAAAGCAGTCGTGCTAGGAGGTTGGGGAGTGCTAATAAGAGAATTAGGGGGAATGTGGGTTGCCACTTAAATTTTACTTATTTTTCCTGGATGAATTTTAACCAATAGCAAAAAGGAATTTTGCAAAACTTTTACCCACCCACAGATTTTCATGAAAATGTCACTGACCAAAGACAGTTTTGAATTTTGTATGAATTGACTCACTTCTCCACAGGCATTCTGCCTGGCAAAATCTACAGTATTTGCTTTGGCTTGAATATTGGGCAGTTTGCTTTTTAAGTAACATTGGATTACAGATACAAGAAAATAAATACAGAGCTGGGGCCATGTCCCCATTCCTCTTTTATGGCCTGATGTATGGGTTCATGGGCCAGCTTGAGCCATGTAAGACATGTCTTAAGGAAATGTAAATTCATTGTAAGTTGTGGATGGTTTTTTTTCCATACCATTTATTTTGTTATTTTGATGAGCCTTGGCATTGATGTGGTGACCGCAATTATGTGATCAGAAAGGACCTTAGAAAAATATAATCTAAACATAACTATTATTCTCTACTTCACAATCCTCATATAGACAAAACTGAACAACTTTTCATCATATTTAAGCACTAATAAGGATTTGAAGAAATGATAATGCTTTAAAATTGCTGGAGACAGTAAATTGGGGTGACCACTTTGGAGATCAATTTGGAAATATCTAATAAAGCTGAAGATGAGCATATCCAACAAAACGGTGTCTAGGTGTTTACCCTAGAGAAGCTCTTACATATGGTAGCAAGGAGACATGAAAAAAGGTATCTGTTGCATCTCAATTAAAAAAAAAATAATGTAAACAACCCAACCGTTTATAGACAAGGTAAGTTCATAAACTGTGGTTTATTCCTAATCAAATATTATAAAAAATATTATAAAGGAGTTTAGAATTAATTAAACACACACGTACTACATATATCTATC